CCCCCCCCAAAGACACCAGAGCTTTTGGCAGCTGGCACCAAGCAAGATAGGACAGAAGAGGAGCTGAAAGGTTTTAGCCCCAATAATCCTAACACTCCTGCAGCAAAGGGTCAACCATACCCAGTGATACTGAGGCAAGGAAAGCTTTCACCTGGCAGACCCCAGTCCTAAGGACAACCTGCTCTGTTACCTCCTGCACAGCCACAGCTTATACAACAAAGTGGGAGCCCAGTACCCCCACTGCTGCCCTCCAGCCCCTGTGGGCAGAGGAAGGCTGTACCAGGCTCTCCCTGCTCACCTTGCCCCTGCCTGCAGCCACGGAGGGCTGAGCTGTGCACCCAACTCAGCACCCAGGGAGCCTGGGGATGCTGGTGGGAAACACTGTCACCAGGATGCAGGAATGGTGCCCTCCCAGACTCTGCAGGTTAGAGGTGATGGGGACATACACTGCTGTCACCTACACTAGTGCACACCACTGCTGTAACCCATTTTGGCACCTCTGTGGCACACAGCACAGCACCTGCCCCAGTGCCACAGCTCACACAGCAAAACAAGGGACCCAAACACCCATGAACTCCACCTCAAAACCCCCTAGAAGACATAAAGGGGAGCAACAAGGTTACATTTCATTTTCCAGCTCCTCCATGCCCCTCACGCAGGGAGCATTTGAGAAGGGCAGACCTGCCACAGCCACTCGACCACATCAGTACCTGGGAAGGTTCCAGCTATTTTCAAGCCAGGTGAAGCAGATTCTCAGGGGTTTGGCTTTAAAACCAGATCAGTGCCAGGAGCAAAAACAACCTAATGTCACCTCTAGGGTCAGAGTTGAAGGCCAGGAATTCATAAGGCATTAGTGCAAGTCACCCCTCAGTAAACAGCAGGAACAGGCAGGCTTGGACAGGGAAGGCAAAAAGAGGGAATGGTGACAAGTCCATCCCAGGAACTGGGGCTCTGCAAGGACAGGCAGGCAGCCAGGCTTGTGCTCCAGGGATTTGCAGACTACCCGTCCAGATTGCTTTGCAAAAACAAGGCACTTTTACGCTGAGGGCGGTTTTGGAAAGTACACAGGATTCTTGCAACCAAGAGACGAAGCCCAGGAGAGAAAGAAAGAAAGAAAAGAAAGGGGGGGGGGGGCAAACATAGGTTGTTCCAAGCAGCAGATCCAAGAACCTGTCACAGCCACACGAGGTACAGGAACATGGAGATCATAGGAATACGTCACCAATGCACTGACAAACAGCAGCTCCCACGGAGCACTGGAGGGGCCTGGGGCACACAGCTCTGCTTGTCGAGGTACTAGGTCACAGTCTCAGAGGACCTTTGAGAGCACATCAGTGACAGGGCAGACAAGGAGCAGAACAATCTTGTGTCTACTCCCACACCCCTAAGGGAGTCTGTGTGCCAGTCCCAATTTGTTTCCTCCATCCCTGCTAATCTGAACCACCTGGAGCAGCAGTTCCCACCAGGGAGGAGGGAATTAGATTTTCTCAGGGACGATAATCCATTTAAATACAGCACTTCTGAGGAGCCTCAGCACTGTTCCCAGTGAGCAGCCCTGCTCTCCACACAGCCCACCCACTCCCACCTGCCTGGGGAGAGAGATGGGTTCTGTCCCTCAAAAACACCAAGCTGTCAGACCACAGGGGCTTGGAGATACAGCAGGTTCCTCCAGGTCTTAATTAAAAGAGCAGCTGTTTCAGTCCAAAACAGCATGAAGTCACCTGTGGACTTGCTCCCAGAGCAGCTGAGCCCAAGGAAGCTAACCAGCTCTGCACCCACTTGAAGGCTCAGATTGGTTAAACAGGGTTGGCTTGAAACTTGGTCTAGCAAGACCCCCAGCATGTTGCTCTTCTCTTTGAGGGCACATGCACATGCCACTGCCATCAGGCGACAGGCACAGACCTCTCCCTACCTCCCCCTGCCCCTTCTGGCTGCAAGGGGACAGCCCCCTCAAAGTACCATCACAAAACTGATCACGGACTCATGGTGCTGTGCTGCCTCTGCATTACTAGCCTGGAGAGGCTGCAGTAGCTCCAGAAACCTAGGGACACAGGTCCTATGGGAGTCACTCGTGGGTTAGATGCTGCAGGCAGCAGCTCAGGAGCTGCTGACAAAGCCCCTTTGAGTTGTAGGCCACTGAGCCAGGTCCCAGCATGCCTCCTGCTTTGGTAAACCAAGAAGTTACACAAACATGAGCTCCCAGTTAGTTATCCAGCTCCCAAAAGGAACTTCAGATCAGAAACAGTGCAAAAAGCCAGTTTTAGAAAGTACCATTTATTTGAGGGGAAAAAAAAAAATTAATCAATAACAGTGGAAAATCCCAAAGAGCAATTACACAAGAGAAATCTAAATATCCCAAGCAGACACGGCTCCTGCCTTCCTGGTAGTGCTGTCCACAGGCAGCACAGTCCTCCCTCTCCTTCCCAGCCTCTGGTGAACTCTGTGCAGCTCTGACAGCCTCCCAGAGCTCAGTTTCCCCGAACACACTTGTACTGGGACCAAGCAAGTGAGTCACGCAGAGGACCTGTCCTCTCCCACTGATGTCCCAACACACCCTTCTCTGTGTTCCCACCTCATCTGCCTCACTCAGAGGGGGCTGAACTCTTCTTCAACCACCTCTCTGGATTCAGCCTCAAGCCTACAGCAAATCTCAGCAAGGAGGCTCCAGGAGCCATGAGATTTCTGAACAGCGTTCACAACCACCTGGTTTTGTGCTGCTTACTCAGGTACTCAGTTTGGGGACTCACACAATATTTGTCTTAAAGCACACCAGACTCAGAGCTGCAGGAGGACATGACTCATGCATAGTTCTGTAATGCCTTCCTGACACAGGATTCAGACACACATCACCCTTTGCTCTGGGAGCACTGGGGGGAATGGCCCAACTCTCAGCGGAGGTAGGAGCTATGTACAGGAGATGTTAAGAAAGACCCATGGCAAGGGGTTTGGGGGTTCAGAGCTTGCAGCTACAAAAGCTCAGTGCTCCCAGGTGGGAGATGCCACCCAGGCAGATCTCAGCTACCAGACCAAGCCTTCTGCACGCGGCAGGACCCAGCACAGCACCTCAGGGGACTCCACAGCACAGCCAAACCCCTGAAGAAAAAGCTATTTTCTCCATAGTGCAAGCTTCCAACGCTTGCTTCAGAGGGCAACCCCAGGTGGGGACCTCTGCTCTGACTCTGTGGATCCCACCACAGCCCACTTCCAGGCAGAGCTGGGACACAGCAACAGAGCCCCAGGGCTCCAGCTGCTCCCAGCTTTCCCAAGCACAAGTCCACTCATGCTCTAGACAAGACACTGGACAAACAGCAGCACAAACAAGATCAAAACACACCATAAGGCTGCTGAAGAATTAACTCCAGCCTTTTCACTCTTAACTGTATATTTCTTAGTAAAATATATAATATATAGCTCTATAGGACTGATTGTAATATATTACAGGCTAGAAATACTCTTGTCTTTTCCCTACTTCAATCATATTATGCATCCAACTTTGCATACAGATTAATCCTAGAAGTTATTGCCTTGAATTTGTAATTGAAATTCACAGAATAAAGCTTAAATAGTTTTCACAGAGACTCATTATATTAGTGTTTTACATAAAAAGGATAAAAGTTACCAGATGAGAAGAGCAGCCATTTCAGAAACTATAAATAACTATTTAAAAAATAATCCTAAACAAGTTATGAGAAAACCATAAATATCTTTACCCTCTACAGTAGCTGCTATAGAATTAGAAGAAAGCTGTAACACACTGTAGCTAACTCTGCTTCGGTTCAGAATATGAATCATACAAAACAGCATCTCTAGAGAAATGCCTGGCCAAAGGAAACACAAAGGGATTGAAAAAATAAATCTGAGGAAATTAAAAAAGTAGATTTTTTTATTATTTCAAAACAGTTTCTACAAACTTTATATAAACATTAGGCTATTTTCTTTAAATTTTCTTTTTGTTATAAAAAAATCCTACAAGCAATCCTTAAAAAAAGGTAAGAGACTGAAGGCAAGGAAAGGGTGCCACCATAGCCAAACAACTGGCTGTCCTGATTTCAAGGACTAATGACCCTTGCCTGGGGCCAACAGGAAGAGACAGAAGTCTCCGGGGGAAGACATTCCCATAGGCCCTTTATGGCATTCAGGGATTTGGAGCCCCCCCGTGGGCCTTTTACTCCCTGATAAGGCAACATTATCTGTAGTGTAAGAGATTCATAAATACTTCTCCACAAAAATGCTTCACATCAACAGCCTGCTGCAAGACATCTAGTAGCAAGATTTATAAAAAAAGCCATCTTCTATAGAAGCAGCCAATCCCAGCACAGCACACTGGATGCAAACACATGGTGTTTGCTTCCATACAGTCTGGTTTGTGTTTATATACCCTCTATAAAACCAAGCAGAAAATTTGGCATCTTTATTTTTTTTTTTTAAGCTAGCTTAGAAAAAAATACACTGAGGTTTTTTTTTCAGACTCTTTGTATTTCATTGGGCCCTTGTTAGCTGAGCGGGATGGGAAGGGTCACGTAGGAAGTTTGTTTTTTCTCAAAGTCACTTTGAAATTCAATCCAAAAAGAGCATTTGTTCAGCACATCTCATCTGAGGGCACAGTGTTTCCATACAGTCTGTTTGTCCCCTGATGGGCACAAGGTGCTGCTGAGCTTTAAGCATAGAACTCATTTGTGGGGGCTTTCTTGTAGATAGGTTTCTTCCCCAGGTCGTAACTGCCCTCGTCCTTTTTCTTCATGCGATAGACCAAGAGGAGGATCAGGAAAACAGCAAACAGGAGACCCACTGCTCCTCCTGCAATGAGAGCTGGGGAGGAAAAAGAGCACGGAGTAAGTCTTGGATAACCCCAAACCATAAGCTACATCTCAAAATCTGCTTCAAGAGTACCAGCCCCCAACGCTGCCTCCAGAATCAGTGTCCATGTGGCTGTCACCATATGTGCTGGCATTTTCAGCAACAGCAGATGTTACTGGGAAAGGCCAGAGATTGCTTCCAATCCAACCACAGAATAATCACGTTCCACATTAACCAGTTTGTGCTAATCTTCCCCTTTAGTCCAAGAAGGAAATGTTGACAAGAAGATAGACTCCCTGTGTGGAGACAAAACCAAAAACCCACCCAAAAAAAGCCCAATCACAACCCAGAGAAAAATGATATAGCTCCAGTCTGAATGATTTGTTAGCTACCTATATGAACACACCCTGGGGATGCTTAATTCATCAGCAGCATCCAAATGCCAACACCACTTCCCTTCAAGAAAGCCAAACCACCCTCAATAACCACAACCCACAAACCTGCTAAAAACCACTAAGACTTTCTCTCTTCACACCAAGGGTGGCCACAAGACTTGACTGAAATCTGCCCTTTCCTGTGACACATACTCCTTGCCCTAAACCAGCTTCTTTGTTAGATGACTTTGCAATCCACTCTTCCAGTCTCTCCTCTGACTGGGAAGATGGCCTAAGGTTTGTGCTTGGACCATCAGGCCAAGTGCTTGATGAATCATGCTAGACAGGCTTGTCCCACATGGTGAGGGGAAGCCAGTCCCTTGGTTTTGTTCTAGACAGAGGTACTCAGATTCCTACAGCTGAACAGGTGTTCAAATCCCTTTGAGTGGTTGCTTGGCTCCTGGCACAGCTCAGAAAAGGCAGGACATGGGCAGAGGTTAGAAGGAAAACACCTGTGTCTATGATATCACTTGTTTATGGCCAGATACTGCCTCAACAAGAGGTGTATCTTGGTACAGAGCAGCTGCCACATGACTTAAGCCAACAGTCAGCTGACAGGCTCAAAAACAAGCTGTTTATCCCAGCAAGGCAAGCAGCAGGCTCTGCTGCTCCTTAAGGACTAGAAGGCAGAAGTCACCCTGCTACAGATAGTCACAGAGGTAACACAACTCACTCCCCTTGTTAACAAGGAGCTGCTCCCCAGAGACAGGGAGCAACAGAAGACATGCTGATTTTCAGTATTAATGATTTATCAGGATAAGGTGGCGTATTACCTGTAAGGACTTCTGTTCTTTCAAAGATGCTGCTATTGGCTGTGCTTGCCATGGAGATCTTGTTGGACAGGTTCTCTTCGACAGGTACAGCTTTGTCTGGAATGATTTCATTGTCCACCATTGTGTTTTTCTTCTCACCTTCTATCTTTCTGCCAGTATCTCCAGGGATATAGTTGTCAGATATCTATAGAACATGGACAAACCACACCCATCAGTAAGCAGCACCCAGCCTGCCTACAACTGAAACCAGGAGGGTGTGCAGGGAACAGAAAGTTTGCTCAGTGCATTACAAGTACACTGTTCCTGCTCATGCAGGTGAATTCATCATGATGCCACATCTTGCATGCAGGGGGAGCAAATTCAGGGAGTTTCACAGACAGACCAGAGGAGCAACATGTTGCTTAAAAACACACAGAAGCAACACCTACCACAGGAGTATCCATGGTGGTCAGATATATGCCATCTTCAGAGTCTGGGTAGTCTGCAGAGGGGACAAAAAAAGAGAGAGGACTTCAAGTTTTCATTTTATTACATGCTGTTTTCCCAGAATTCAGACACTTTCTGCAATGCAAGCAGCTGCAAATGACTCTTGTCCTCTATAATTCCCTCTTATCTACTAGTACTGTTTTTCACTTAATGGCTTCGATTGCACAAGACCATGAGATGTAATCAAACCCAACACCTCTCTTATGTGAAGGGTCTTCAGCTGGATCCATCGGCCCCTGCAGGGCAGGTCTGCCACAGCTTGCTCAGCTAACACCAGTGGAGGGCACTGCTCCCACTGCCCATCCCTAAAGCATCGTTCACCAATCCTCCAGATCTGCCCAAACATGTCAGGCACCGATTTCAGCACTTGTTCTTTTAGAGAACAAATGTTCACATAAAAGAACAGAGCTACAGAAACTGGTTTGGGCAGGGAGTTTTGCATGTCACAAAGAGTTCACTTGAACACCAGTTAGTCCTTTACCTTGTCTGGCCTCAGCTGAGATATTAACTTTAAGCCTTTAACACTGCCTCAACAATAGATTTATTTTTTTTTACATTTCTCAGCAGTTCTTGGGAGTTCAACAGGAAAGAGATCCAGCCAGGGCAATGCCTTTTCACTTGCAGCAAGGCAAGCTTGGCTGGACTCCATCTGTCCTCCCTGAGTGATTCAACATCACAGCACAACCACTTTCACTGTTCCCATCTGAGTGACTACAATTCACACAGCTTTCTCATCTCCACCTGACACTGTGGCTCCTCTGGAGCTCTGGCAGTGCACTTAGCACATCAACTTATGGACTGGAGCTGAAAGAAATTTCACAGCATCAACTGAGATAAATCCATTTCCCCCCTTCCCTACTCACCTCCAGACCCAGATGCTTCATCTATATCTAACCCATCAGAAGTTAAGTGAGGCCTGAATTCACCGATGTCTTCATCATCTGGCAAGTCCCCAGAGGCAGGGTAGTCAAGCCATCCAGCATCCATGGTCTCAGTTTCTCTCACCTGTAAATGGAGGAGGAAAAGTGTTAAGTATCAGGCAACTCCTCAGAAGCATTTCACAAAAGGTTCAGAGCCTGTGCTGAGCACATCGCTTCCAACACAAAAACATTAAATGCTGAACTTCCTGTCCACTAAAAGCATTACCTTTATCAGCCTCAAAATAGCTGAATTCCCCTACAATTTCTCAGAACAGAAGTGAGAGCCAGCCTGGGAGGGGAATTTCCTGTGGGCTACAGATTCAAGAGGTTCACCTGAACACTGGGGAAAACAACACAACAGGATCTTGGCCAGGAATTTGCAGCAAAAGCATTTGGAAAAGCAATACCTTCAATTTGTGATAAGGGAGAGTTTGGAAGGACTTGCAAAAAAGCCTGGCACCTATAGGCCAGTTTTTTTGCATAGCACTGAAGCCTCACACCAAGCCAATTCCTCACTTCTTGTACTGAGAACAAACCTATTTCATCACCCAAGGGTTAAAAACTGGTCTGTCAGTTGAGCTGAACTGCAGTGCAATGCAGTGTGACGTTCAAGAACACTCGCTATCAATAATGAGTTGCCTGAAGGAAGAGCTTCCCCTGCCTCACCTCTTAAAAAGCAAGTAAACAAACAAGGCTGTAAAATAAGTCCGGGATGCAAAGGCCCAAGCAGTGCAGTTATGGCACAAAAGCAGGAGAGTCTCCCAGAGATCAGCTGTTTGGCCACAATGGCAATTTGCACACTAAAGCTCATCTGCACTTGGACCTTCAAGGAGCCACACAGCACAAACCTCCTGCCCTCACCAAGGTTATGCAACCTCTGCAGAACTATTTCCCCTCACCCCACAGCCCTGGGGCCAGCCCTGGTGAGGGTACCACAGGTATGAGCTCTGGGGTTGCTCAACACCAGTCTACAGATTCCAGATGCTTCCATAGCCATGAAGTCATTGCCATGGAAGGAGCCTCAACCCCTACCCCAAGGCAAGAAGCACAATGCAGATGGATTGGTCCCATAGCTGGGGGCTAAACTGGCACATTTTTTCACACTGTCTTCACAGAATGACTAGGAAGACTGGGAGGTATTGATGAAGACTTTATCTACCCATTTTTTAAACATCCCTTTACTCCACAGTCGTGCACATCCAAGGGTTCTGCTCAGATGTACAGACTTACCATGAGCTACAGCCTCACAGGGGGGTGAGGAAGATTAGAGACTCATGGGGACAGTTAGAGCTGGGTGGCACCACCGAGCCCTGTGTGGCTGTGTCAGCCCTCCTGCTTGCCCAGCCAGGTGTGGCCCATCCCACAGCCCAGTGGTAGCACCAACTAATGAATTACATCCTCTATTGATCTCACATCCCAAGGCCAACAATCAGCCACAAACCATGTGTCATCTTCCTTTGCCCACAGCCTCAGATCTGCTCCCAGCCCTATTCCCCTGCCCATTAGCACACTGCGTTTGCCTTGTGGTCAGGACAAGATGTGTCTCATTTTGTACCAGGAGCAGAGGCAATTAGATGTGCTTTTCATTTGCTTATTGAGGCATTTTTGGTTTCCCCAGCAACATTGCTGCAGGATAACCAGACGAAAAGCCCAGAGGCACGAAGTGCTGAGGCCAGTTCTCCTCCCAGACCCTGGCTCTGCTATGCCAAGCCTGGCACTGGGTGATGGGATGGGGGCTGGGGAGGAAGGTCAGCTTGGAAGAAATCCTCTCCCAGCCTGGAACCAGGCATTCCTAACATTATGGATCACTCGCTCCAAGGCAAATTCATTTCAAGATATTCAAAACCCAGCCAAAGCCAGCCCTGCAATGGAAACTACTGCCAGCATGCAGTAGCTGGTCTCAGGGCAGGGTCTGGCCATTTCATTGAGGGGCAGGAAGTGCTCAATTCCTGAGCTAGGGCACTGGGGCTGAGAAGCAGATTTGCTGCAGGTCCATATAACCCAGCTGCTGCACCAGGGAGATCAATGCTGGCAAGAGCACCAAGCTGAGCCGCACCCCAGTGCCAGCTCACCCTATACTTCACCCTGAGTCATGGCTAGTAATGTCCAAGCAAGGGTGGCTCAAGAAAACCCAGGTTTGTGCCCTGGAGTGACTGGACAGCCTGCTGGGCTTATCAGATCAGCCCAGCCATGAGCACTGGTGGCAGTCAGCCACGGGGATTAGTACTCACTGTGGAACGCACCAAGCTGGGCTATCAGAAAACTCGATTTAAATCAGGACAGCTAGTGTTTACCAGCCAGAGGACATAACAAGGAAATTACTGACTCACAAGCATAAATAAGATTATATGGGAGCGTTCCCTGAACCCACTCATCATCCTCTTGAGCAAGGACTGGGAAGTTCCTGGAAGCCACAAGAGCTTCTTAAACCATACAGGAAACTTTTCCTGTGGGCAGTGAGGCTCATGTTTCAGATTTATCTGCCAGGGAAGTCAGAGGGCTGCCGGGCACCTCCATAATTATCCTCCAGGTTTTAAGGTATGTACTTCTAGGAAGCAAGCTCTGACTGGGAGCTGGGGCACGGGCAGCCTGGGAAGAGTTAACACTGGAGCATGGTGCTTGCAGGGCAGGTCTGGAGCAGGCACATTCCTCACATACACACCTGTGAGAGGGCACACAGGCACTTTCACAGACTTAAAAGCAAGAGCTATGAGCTTCCCCAAGTGTCATATAAAGAGCTTCCAGGAGTACTGCTTAAAAAAAAAGTACATCCCCTTCCCAGAGGACTGCAGTCCTCCCTGCAAGCTCTGCTCCTAGGTGAAGAGGCACCACAGAAGGTACCCATACTTCCTCGTCTTGCATGCTGCAGCCAAGAGGAAAAAACTAGGAGACTGCCACAGGATGATAGTCAGCCCTTGCCAAGTCATCTCTGGCCACATTCAGCTTAACACCTTCTGCAACTGCCAGCTGCAGAAGGGCACCAGTGCTGCTCCGAGTCTGCTTTCCACCACCTGTTTCCCAGCACTGGAGCCAGGCCAAGGATTTGCTGGGAGAGTCGGAATGGGCGGCTGCACAGCCCCACCTTGCCCTGGCAGCTGAAGTCGAGTCCTACTATTAATATGCTCCTCTCTAGGAGGGGTCTGTACGGAAATCAACCTCTCCTGCAGGGTCTAGTTGCAGGATTTCTTCCTCATGTTAAGCAGCTTTATCCCCAGTAAGTACCAAGGGAAGATTAACCAACGTGCTGGGGAGCAGCTTTTCCTGCCTGCCAGTGGCAAAAGAAATAAATAAGAGTTTATTCCCTGCCAGACAACCAACACATCAGGCACGTGAACTATGAGTTACATTCCTGGAAGAGCTGGGCACAGAGGTCTCATGTTTGAACCTGAGACAGGCTGCACTACTAGATGAAGCAAGACACTGTTTGCTCAGTGGAGGCACAGAAATCACACTCCTGGCAGTCCAGCCAGCCCTGCTGTGCTCCATCCCTAGCCCACCCCACTCCATTTTGTGCTTCTGGAGCTCCAGAATACCACTCTCCTCAAAGCAGGATTATCTATTTATTGAGGCAGCAAGCAAAGTTTCTGCCCAATGTGTGAATTTCCCCAGCCGCTGGCAAGTTCTGAGAAATAACAAACCCAGGCAGCTCACCTGTCCCAGCCCACATGTCCTCACCACAGCCTTTGCAAGCCCTTTCCAAAAAAACCCCAAATGATGTTTTGGGTCAGAGATAAAGTTCCCCAGACATGTAACTGGCTTTTACAGCTGGTCCTTGTCTCTGATCAAACACACTCGAGCTCATTAAAAGCTCCTTTGAAGGGTCACAGCCAGCAAAGGGAGTCAGACCTGCAGGGTCTGGGACATCCACAGCACATGGAGCTCTTTATCAGGCTTATAGTTTTGGCACAGAGACCCAGCGTTTGCTCCTGGTTTCCCTCCCCAGCACTGTGTACACAAATCTAGGAGTAAACAGGAGCAAGGTGAAAGTCAACCATTCCTAGACAAAAGCACATGGAGCTGGGCCAGCCTGGGAGGTGGCAGGAGAGGGGGCAGAGGCACAGACCTGTTAACTCTCTGTAGCCTGCAGGGACAGGTAGATATAAGCTGCTCCCAGGGCTTTTCTCTGGTTTCTTTACTCAGGGACAGTTGTACACATCACTTCATTTCACTTCAGCAAGCAGTGTTACACAAAACAATCTTTCCCAGACCTGTGCTGTCACGGACAGATGTCACCTCACACCACCACAGTGTACAGCTACATCAGCTTAACCAGAAAAGGCTCCTGGACAACGTAAGCAGCTGCCTGCATGCCCAGCCTTGGAGCTTGGTTATTAAGAGAAGATTTACAAAGCCACCACCCTGGGCCTCGTGCTCTCCTTGCAGCATGGACCAAAGATCATAAAATCCAGTGGGGCTTTTCCAGAGCAAGGATGCAAAGCTCTGTAAATCAGCGAGCCCAAGAGGGGATTTCCATACAGTTCACTTCCGCCGAGCTCATGCAGGAACCCACAACCCAGGAAGGTTTTAAAGCTCACACCAAGTGTACAAAAGAGCAGGGGTTAGGAGTGAGGTCACCCTCTCAAAGCCACCAGCCCCCCAAAAGCAGGAAAGTGTAGGAGCCACAGTGCTCTGGGAACAGGGCAGCTCAGACCGGTGCAAATCAGCCAAACAGAGCTGATCTCCATGGGAGGGAGGCATGCAGTGAGGCAAAGGCAGACAGCTCTATCTTCCCACCAGAATAAACACTAAAAAATGTTATTAGAAGTGACATGAGCTACCAGCAGAGGCAGCTCCTGCCAGACTAGTAAGGAAGGGTCTATATTCCTCCCTCCCCTTACTCCATTCTCCAGCTCTGTGGAGGGGGGAAAAATAAATAAACAAAAGTCATTTTAGTCCTAAGAGCAAAGTAAATAGCAATATTTCAATCTAGGTCATACCTAAATCCAACACATCAACCCCAGAGAAATAAAAAAAACAAAACACCACTTGTGCCAGCTCCTCATGCCCATGCTTGGAGGTACCATTTTACTGCCCATTCCTGGTCAGTCTGTCCCACGTAACTTAGAGCACACATGGCCTGCACTGGCCTTTGTGCCAAGGGACAAAAGTTAAACAGCTCCCATCCAGGCACATGTTTGTATTTAGTTGCATGACAGGATCACCTGAGGCTTCCAGACATGGTTAAATACTACCTTTGCTCAACACTTTCCAAGCAGTTCTAGAGCAGGGCCACAGCCAGCCTTGTCCACCTCCTCTCTGACAGCACAGCCACCACAGTGAGCCATAAAGGTAAATCCATGATGCCTCTGAGGACTGAAGGGGAAATCAGACTGAAATACAGACCAGGACTTGCAGGCAGCTCCTGCTGGCTGTGGGGGATAGCACTGCACATCCAACACCCACACTAGTTACTGCGCACGCTTTGTGCCTCTTACCAAAGAAGCAAAAAATATTTATTATTATTTTGAATTGTGCTCAGTAACACAGACAAGGAGCAGAGTCTTGCTTAATGTGACAGAACAAGAGCAACACACAGGCTGAGGAAGGGTTTGGCTGGTAGAAGCATCGCTCGTTCAAGGTGACTCAAGAGCTGCCTGTCCAACCAGGTATCCATCTCCCTGCAGCCACACAGCAGAGCAGGGACAGGCACGGAGGGCACATCCAGCAGCACCACAGCCCCAGCCTGGGTCACTCCCCGCTCGCTCCCACCCCGTGTGATTCTTTAAGCCGTGTCGCCACAAGCAGCTCTCCTGGGGGCTCATGCGGCAGCCGAGCCATAATCCCCGTGACAATTACACTGTAATCCCGAGCTCTGGAGAGCCACTCGCTGTCACGGGTGCCTCCCCTGCAGCAGGGATGAATCCTCCCGGGGCTCTGCTTGCTCAAAATAGGCTTCCCTGCCTACAAAGTCAAACCTCAGTTACCTTTTCACTGGTGGGCGCTCTCTGCAGAGCACAGCGTACTCAGTGCCTTTCAGGCCATGCTGTAGGAGCAGGACAGAGAGATTACAAAGGAATGAACTCTTGTTTAACTGCTTTTCCCTGATATCAGCCAAGAGCAAAGCCATAAAGATTGAGCCCTTTGCCAGGTGGGCACATGCTGGGATCTGTTTACTGCCATGGTGGCAAAATAGCTGCTCTAAATACTCAATGTCCAGCTCCAGAGCCCAAGTGGGAAGGAGGTGAGTGCTTCCCACTCCAGCTAGAGGAGATAAAGCTCAGCAGACAGTTGCAGATGGCTGTGTGTCCATCACTTGCCCTGAAGCAAATAAAGATAAAGTTCAGAGGAAAACTACAGGAGGAAAAAGCAGGAGCTCTCATGTGACCCAGGAGGAAAACAACTGCAGCAGAGACATTTCACGCCCCTGAAGGGTTCTCCCGGTCACAGGCAGTGATACACACCTACTTCATAAAGAGATTATATTTTTATGGTATTTACAAACCCCATCGTAGGTAATTCATACGCTTCAGTGCCCAGGGCTCAGCTCAGAAACTGGAGAAATCTATTCAAGGTTAGAAAAAGGAATTCAGTTTAGCAGCTCACAACTCACAACAAGTTGCCCTGCTCTATAATAGCGGCTTCTACCGCATCCTTGTCTGTGGAAGTGGAAAAAAAAAAAAAAAGATATGAAAGCCCCAGAGCAAAGCAGGTTTTCCATCAAGGATGACTCTTCATGCTGACACTTCCGAGTTGGGATATTTCATATATCACATGTGCCCCTCATGTGGGGGAGAGGCCTTCCCTCACTGCCCTTTCCTAGAGTACAGCTACACCCCAGTACTTCCCCAAACACACACATGCAGAATTTCCACTTGGCAAGAAAAGCATGATGTGCATTTTTGGGATCTTTATGCTCCCTCATGCCAGAGTGTTAGCAAAATTAAGCCAGGCAGACACCCAACTTCAAAGGGTGCTTTTCCTATCTGGCTCACCATGCAGCTAATCTCAGCTTGTTTGTACAGTACAGATTCACAATGCTGCACCCTACAAATGCTTCCCCTCCCACGATCCATTTTAATCTAATCAGAAGTAGTAGCCCAAAGATTTAGGCTTAGCCCAGGCAGTGGAGCTCTGCCAGCATGGTTATGCTATTTCAAGTCTTGCTCTGTTGGCAAAGGTGCCAGCAAAGAACTGCAGCAGAGGAAATTATCAGCACGAAAGCACTTGAGACAGCCTAGCCACACTGCTCTGCTATCTGCCATACCCGCCTGAGCATTTATACAAACAAACATTTCAGCAGCAGGGATTTTCCTAGTTCCTACAGCAGCAGAGGCTGGGTTCTCAGTGTGTGGGGTTTGGGTTGGTTTTTGGTTTGCTTTTTTACAGGGACATTCCCTACTTTTGCAGAAGTTGCCTTGGCTTAGGCCCAGAAACCAGCAGACACAGTGTGTGCTATTGGGAATAATGCAGCTGTACTTTGGGAAACCTGTCACTCCCAGAAGCATTTTCCTCCCTCAGAGCTCTAGACTCCCAGTCAGTCTTCCTCCCCTCTCTGAGCAGAGGGTGAGCAGCTGGCAGCAGTTTTCCAGCCCTCCCTGACCACGTCTCTGTACCCACACAGAGACAGCCAGGAGCAGAGGGACCCAGCTATTGTTTTGGTCACTCCTTCCCTGGTGCTGCAAAGCCCATGCTCGGCTGGACTAGCAAGTCGGTGAGTAACCAACGAGCAGGACCAGCTCCTCATACTCAGCCTCAGGAAATTTGGAATTAGCGCCAAGAACAGCCCGCACATAAACAGTCTCCTGCAAGATCCTGGCTCCAGACTCTGCTCCACTGCACACTGTGGATTTGCAATAAATATTTACCTCGCTGGGGAACAGAGCCTTCCAAGCAAAAGCTCCTGACATCAGTAAGAACTGTATTTCCATTTGGGGGAGAGTAGAAGCTTTTTTGGTTTTAAAAGGGGCACTAGCCTACTAAAGAAGTTTCTGCCACCCTCCTAGCACCAGGCTAGTCAGGATCTGCCCCTCCACCTATGGGTCCCACTACTCTCCAGGCCAGCCAGGTGCCCTCCTTCCAGCCATACACCTCTCAAGTCACCTCACCTTCTGCACAGACATGTCTGGCTACTGTTTTGTGCAGGCCACTTCAGAGCAAAATTTAAGGCAGGCACTTTCAGAGTCATTAACGCACGTTAACATTGCTTTTTATTGCTATACTTTGACTGCAAACAGCAGCTAAAGGGCAGGAGGCAGAGTTAGCCTCGCTGCATGGCAAGGCCACATCACTTTGTATTCAAGTTTGACAGCAGCACGGTTTTAGTGGAACCGTGGTGGAGACACCTTTTCCCCTGCAGCAGCTAAGGCAGAGCAACATCAGAAGAGAGAAATCCTTCCCATGGCAGGCTGTGCTTTCCCTGACAGAAAGAGATTTGTTTAAGCAAGAAGTAGCCTTGGTTTTGCTTGACATTAACACCAGCTGCTTGGGTAACAGTGCTATAGGTCTCCCAGTCTCCTTCCTGCCCCAAGGAGTGTCTCTCTTAGATTTTAATTAACTGCTTTGATTTTCAAGTTATCCCAATCATTTGTCTAACAACAGCCTCTTGGTATTTTATAAGCAGTCTCAGCCTCAAAAGACTTATGGATGAAACGGACAAGGAGCACATATTTCCAGCACAAGTAAGACTTTTACACCAAGTGCACTTTTGAAGCCAGCCAGCCTGAAGAAATTGAGAGGGACGCAGCTACATCTTGCGTGTTTTCCCCTCCTACGCTGACATTTTATCCAGATTCAGGATTAAGTATTTAACCCCCTCTTTTGAGACTTTCCGCTCCTTTAGCTTGCTTTGAATGCTTTCAGTCATTTTGGATAATGCTGCTGCTTTGCTCTCTCTCCCATGCAACTCTTGTTTCCAACCGGTATCAGCCTGAAAATGAAGGAGCCCCAGAGCTGCCAGAGCAAGTTACAGCTGCTCAAGACAGGGCCATTTTCTGATCTGCCTTTGCCAACACCAACTTGGCTACTGGCAGCAGTCACATGTCAGAGCCCGACAGCTTTTCTGCCCACCATAGCCACAACCAGATTAAACAGGAGGCAGCAGTGAAGGCACTCAGTGCCAAGGGCAGCACAGACTGTGTGCCAAGCAGCAGCACTAGTTTTGCTTGTCACCCCTTTTCTAACCCCACAAGAAGAGATCCACATCTGTGTCGCAGCGCCTCGGAAGTCTGAGTCACTGCTTTGGGGAAGGGGCCAGGGCCGTTACTCAGAGGGTGACAGCAGTGTCTCCAGGATGCCAGGCAAGTGCCAGAAACTCTGAGTCAGAGCATGACTGCTCCAAGTCACGGCCAACGGCGAAACACAGCAGAGCTGGTCCTCTGACCAGCAGCATTTACAGGACAAACAGTCAGGCACACGCTTATAGACAAAAAAATAAAAAAGCCTGAACTAACCTAGAAGTGCAGCCCTAACACCTCATTAGCGTAGGATCTTTTACAGCCCCTCAGAGCAGTGGCTTATTACAAGTTAAACTCTTTAACTAGGCTGCTCTGTCTATTCAGAGCCACCAAGCCCAGTCTCATCACAAGAGTCTCATTCTAGTGCAAATCATTTGAATCCTTAATCTAAAGCATTTGCATTCCACCGAGTCTCAAACAAACAGCCACACACGCTCCCCAACAGCAGCCCAGAGGTCAAGCGTGTGCAGGGTTTGTCCCCTTGGTTTTGTAGTGCTTCAACTGCATCAGCTTCTAGTTTGAGGCTGCAAAAGCAGCACAACCCGGCTGTTGTTAGAGGGCATAAAGGAACAGGCTGTACCGAGTGAAGGGGGAGAATGCAGCTGCAAGATCTAAGAGCAGGCTCAAGAGGATAAATGTTAACTCAAGAGCTAGGAAGTGTTTTGAAGGATGGATGCTCCATTTAGTCTAGCCGAAGTGATAGCTGAGGAGTTCTGCGGTATCAGAGAGCTGTGATAACTTAATCACAAATCAAGTAATCTCACAGATCAACCCAAGTCATTTACATTGCAGACCATGGAACCACAGTTATGCTGCCTTTGCTGGCACAGTTACTATCACTAATTAAAAAAAAAAAGTTTGTCTTTAAAGCCAAGTCCATCAACCTGTTCACTTCAGGGAGCACAACTTAACACGCACAAAATGCAACACAATCTAGTGGCATCTTATAGCCAAGGGGATTCAAGCAACCAGCATGTTTCCAACAGAGCATTTACCAGCATCAGAAGTCAGAGGGGAGGGAAAAGTAGCTGCAGAGCTGTGCTGAAGTCCCGCATGCCAAGCGGCCAGATAGTGTCCCTCCTCTCCATCGTCACTCGGAAAAAGTTAGCAGCTTCCAGCTTGTGGTGGAAATGGGACACAAGTGTATCAAAAAGGCAGTATGATGCCACAGGAAAAACATGGCAAGGTCAGATGAGGCTTCACTTCAGGCATTTGAGAGCAGCAAATGGCCTCTCCACCCCAACCATTCAAACAGCTCAAGGCAATAGTAAAGCCATTAACAGAGGCTTGGAGAGGAGGGGAGAGAGGAAGAGGAAAAACATTTTGCCTGTTGTGGGACTGGATTGCAGGCCTTTGCAGGACCTCGAAGTGCCAAGGCCTTGGGAGACAACAGGAGAGGCAGAAAAGAGAGCAATCACGTTGGCTAACAGCCTTAACTTCCCAGAGGGAATTAGCCTCTGGTATCGAGAGCCTGAAAAGTACCAAGTTCAGCCCTGATTTGCCTCTTGCGTAAGCTGTTCGGAAAACTGAACCACAGGAAAGTGCTCTCCAGCATGGGAGCTGGCAGGCACTTCGGACAGATGAGAACTGGGCAGCAGTGCTGTTTCCCTGACTGTGCCCCAAGTGCTGCAGGGGTGACTGCTCCCACCTCTGTGGGTACCCCCGTGTCTAGGGTGGACACAGTGCTGAGCTGCAGAGGGACAGTGCACCCCAGGACTCCCACTCCACCAGTAGTGCATGCAGTTCAACGTGCTAGAGAGGTTATTTCTTGCTACATGTTACAGGGATTTCATCCCAACACAGAGCTTTAGGTTTGGCTACCGTGAGTCACAGGCTCCTTCCCTCTTAGGGCTAAGGGACATCATTTTAGACGCTAATTTTGCTGCTCTGTGTTTCAGGGAGACTGAGGCAAAGCAAGGATTTGCTCCACATGTGAGCTTGCCAGGTCAGAAGGTAAAATAAAGTAAAACATGCAGATACCAATGTCTTGATTTGATTGGGAGGGACAGATGAGAAACTGGGCAAAGAGCAGAAAGAACAGGCCTCGGGGATCAATGGCAGCAGGACAAGCCAAACCGGTTTTAACATTAATAATGCTGCACTACTTTCCAAACACAGCTATCATCAACAAGACACCAGCTTTGCCAATCAGGAGGCCTTCGAGCACGATTGCTTTAAACCAGCAAACAGAGCCCACAAACAGCACGAAGCCTCCCCCCTCTCCCTGAGCAATCCTTTGCCAGCAGCTTCTGGGTTGGATTTGTACTCATCTGTACTGCTAGTGTCACACAAACACGATGCAGTGCTGCATGGAGACTTTTGCTGCATACTTCAGGGCACACAACTACAACAGCTACAACAAGCTGCAGCCCTGCTGAGCTGGGGGCACTCAACTCTCCTGAAGCCCAGACAAAGTGAGCAGAGCCCAAGCCTGTAGCAGGCAGAGACCTCTGCCACAGAGGGAATACCCCTCGCTTCCCTCCTGTGCTGCCAGAGGCACTTCTGGGTGCTAAAAAAAAGCACACAGAGAACACAGCAATGCTCTCTGCAAGGCACACCAAGCTCTTTGTCAATGCCACTGACCCCATGCCAAGCAAGGCACACCACGCTCTTTGTCAATGCCACTGACCCCATGCCTTGGCCACACTGGTGGCTTTCTGTCCCCCCAAAAGCATCTCCTGCAGGAGCCCCATCCTTGCACGGCACAGAGGGGAGCACCCTGCCCACACAGCCTTTGCTCTCCAAGACACCCAACTGGAGAGGGCTGGGACCACCGGGTGACATCGGGCATCAGCTCCAGCCTCCCCCTGCCCCACAGGAAGAAGACTATGTTCTCACACAAAGCTGTTGTAACACAACCCACCCACCCCCGGACTGAGCACCAACGTCACACTTCGGAACTTCAGTAATATTCCCCACCCTCTTACACATCCAGGATTGCTTCACATGGAGAAATCCCACTTACACCAGAAAG